TAAGAACCTTTTTTGTTGAAAAGTTAACACAAATAACTTAAACTTTAATTATAAAAAATATTATTATACATTTATATACGTTGAGGGCAAATAGTGAAAGTTTGAAAACTTGGTTTAATGGAACAACAAAAGTTATACTCGGAAGTGACGTAAATTAACACCAGTGTGCTTCGTGCGGGTTTTTTAACGTTCTCGATAGCGTAAAAGTTAACTCAAATTGTAATTTGTATGCAATTGGAACAACGCCCCTGGCGGCAAACGTAGGCAAACGGCAATGATAAACAAATCGTAAATAGAAAGTAGCAAAGCAAATAATAACATATTGCTCATGAATTTTATCAGGAGTTTTCGTTTCATCTGTAGTTCATTTGTAATCTAAGAAAGTAGAATTACATACAAGGCCAAGATGACGGGGCAATGACACAACCCACTGAGTCTTTCACCGGATCATCACATTGAGTCGCATTTCCGATCCGTTGGTAGATTCAGCGAAGCACTAGCTCTTGCTAGAGCAGATGTTAGCAATTTCTCTCAAGCTAGTAAGCCCCATGAGGTCCCCTACCACCTCGAATAACCCTCGAAGCTACCGACGATTAGGTAGGAGAAATTTGTTTAACCAAAAGTATATGCAGCTGTTCCATTAAAGATTATTAAACAATATACTATAACTGCAAGTGCTAGAATGTTTTTAATGAGGTGGTTTTTTTTAAATTGCCCGTGTAGGCAGACGAGCATACGGCCCACCTGATGGTGAGTGGTTACCGTCGCCCGTTGACTGTAGCAATGCCAGAGGCAGAGCCAAGCCGCTGCCTACCGTTAAGTACTCTCCACAAGCCTCATTTGAAGAAGGACATGTCACAGTGCTCGGGAAACACAGTGGAGGGGAACTCATTACAAAGCCGGATGGTACGTGTAAAAAAAGAACTCTGGAAATGCAGTGTGAATAAATGCAGTGGCTCCAGGTCGATTTTATTGTCCTGCCCACTTAAATTTGAAATCTAATGAATACTACTCGATGCATAACATTTTGTTTTGAAACCAACAAACTTTCGGTATATTTACTCATTTCTCCTTTGATATAACATGGAAATTAGTTCTTTCCTTACGAGAGGCAGGATCTTCTTTACTAATATTATAAAGAGGAAAGATTTGTTTGTTTGTTTGTTTCGAATAGGCTCCAAAACTACTGGACCAATTTGAAAAATTCTTTTTCCATTAGAAGCCGACATTGTCCCTGATGAACAAAGGCTACTTTTTTAAATTTTTTTTTTTTTTTTTGGTTTCATGTGTGTTTTAATGTTTCCGAAGCGAAGCGAGGGCGGGTCGCTAGTATATTATAAGTGTAGATTTTTTTAGGATATGGATGAGATTTATCGCAGCGATATATCCACGATGTGAAAAAACCTTGAAAAACCTTGAAAAAAGAGAATAGTAATAGTGAAAAATAGCAATAGCTTTTTTTCTGCAGGCAGAGAAAACCGCCGGATCCCCACCTGGCACGGCAGGTGGGGGGGTATGTGGGTGTTAAGCCTCACTAAAAACTTCTGCCACTCACAGCCGGCGCCCTACCCCGGACCGGGCCGGAGACCAGTCGGGGCTATTGAGACAGCAGGACAGGGTCGACGCAGAGCATATTACATCCATCCCGTTTCCGCAGGCATAATATATTTGTTAGAGCATATCGAAGTTTAACAACACGTTTTAAATCTCTGATAAAGCAGTAATAATTAAAGGTAGGCTTGTTACAACGATAGGGACGCCTGCCGGCTAAAAGCCCAGCATTTCCTTTCCCTCCCCTCCCAAAAATCCCTCTCAGAAACACCCCCCCCCAAAAAACTTCGAATAGCCATGTTGAGTGGGGATACAGAGCTCGGTCTGTGCGTACTAGCATCGACTTCGACCGTGGCCCAGATTATCAGCCTCTGTAGGACGCAGCGGAAAGATCAACGCACGCAACACCTGAAAATTTTATTGCACTAATAAATTAAAACTCATATCTGGTATTAACTGAGATTTTTTTTCCTGCCTAATCTGATGGTCTTGAGGGACCATTTCAGCGTAACCCTAACTAGTAGTTGAGTGGGCGAGCAAAGGCTCAGCCAGGAGGGGAGGCTCAGCCAGGAGGAGGTAAAACACATCGCTCACGACCACGGCACGCCCGATGAGTGACAGCAATAAGTCAACCACGATCACTCCCACTCCACTCTCGCTCAAACAACCTAACATCGCCCAGGGCTGAACCCGATGAGATAGCAGAGACGACCACGCCCAAAACTACAGCCTGCGGTGCGGCCCAATGACCCCAAAACATACCCTAGCATCAAGTTCCTCCAACCCAACCCTAGAACTAGAATAATAAGCAAGATAGAAGACGAATTATTGTAGTTTTTATTTAGCCTCCTAATTAAAATACTTACGTCAGTTTTCATTGTTTACTTGAACAATGAGAATAAAACAAATATAAAACCCGTCTATATGGCATTGATTTATAAACATAGCAATATTCTAATATTGTTTTGTTTTTTTATTTCATTCAAAGATCAACGAACCGAGTTTATGGGCCCACAGTCAAAGCAGCTCATTCTTAGAGAACCATCAACTATAAAGAAACTGGGTAAGCGTAAGTTTTTTTTTAATTTTTTTGCTTAGATGGGTAGCCGAGCTGACAGCCCACCTGGTGTTAAGTGATTACTGGACCCCAAGGACATCTACAACGTAAATGCGCCACCCACCTTGAGATATGAGTTCTAAGGTCTCAGTATAGTTACAACGGTTACCCCACCCTTCAAACCGAAATTGTTTGAATACTTTTTACGGTGCATAGGAATAATCGAATGCTTTTTGAGGCTCTTTAATTTACTGTGACTGAAATACCACGATTCCCGGTCGTAGTAATTATCTTTGACGTCATGGTCTAAAGGATAAGACGAAATGCGTACACGATAAGCGTTTACAAAGGACTTCCACTGTGAAAGAAAACAAGCGTGTAAAATCAGAACTAAGCTAACCGAACGCCTCCGAAGGAGACCTATCAGCTCAAAAGCAGCTGCTTCTAAATTGCATCAACTACGGCCCGCTGAGAAGATCCGGCTATAAGCTCAGTGGGCTGATGATAAGGTATAAGTTTCATGTCAACCTCTTTTTTTTTATTAATTAGATGGGTGGACGAGCACACAGCGCACCTGGTGTTAAGAGGTTACTGGAGCCCATAGACATCTACAACGTAAATTCGCCACCCACCTTGAGATATAAGTTCTAAAGGTCTCAAGTATAGTTACAACGGCTGCCTCACCCTTCAAACCGAAACGCATTACTGCTTCACGGCAGAAATAGGCAGGGTGGTGGCACCTACCCGTGCGGACTCTCAAGAGGTCCTACCACCAGTGATTACGCAAATAATAATGTTCTTTCTTCTCTTCGACGAGTACAATTACCAGGGTACACAGGGTATGCCTGCTCCTAGTGCTAGAGATGCAGGCGTTTAGGAACCGGGTAGTGGATCGGACGGAGGATATTATAAGTCCACACAAGTAGTTATCCTACCAGTTCCTGAGGCGAAGTTGTCATGCAGTCGTTTGTAAAGTAGAACGGTTGATATGTAAAACGATAGAGAACTTACGCCTTGAGGTGGTGGTATTCATGTCATATTATTTCCATTTGTTCTTTCTGTGATTTGACAATGCCTTCACATTTCTTGAATCTAAATATAAATGTGGAAATTATCAAATAATTAATTTTAAATATTAATTTTAAGCGATTGCATAGCTTCTATGGCGGGCCTTGAGCGTGGCGACTGAATCAAGAAATTCCGTAACGAAAATAGCCTGACACACCCACTACGCCCACTATGTAGCTGGCGTTCAACACATTCACACGTTGCGCTGGTGTAGTGTTTGTGAATAAGCGCGCGGCGTGACGTCGCACTGCATGAGCATCATGAAAAGTCCGCCCATCTCTCTCTCACGCGATCTAGCTTATGAGTGTGAAGGGGACAGTAAGTTTTGCTTTTGTTTATAAATATAGCGTGGTCTTATTTTTATTATTGTTTTAATATTAAATTATTATTGTCCAATTGTAATTGCATAAGTTGATAAAAAATGCTTTGCAATAGCTTTACCGCGGCAATCCCCGAGTGCCACACGTCTTTTTTTATTGTCCTTGTAGGTAGACGAGCATACGGCCCACCTGATGATGAGTGGATGTCAGCAATGCCAGGGACAGAGCCAAAACACTGCCTACCGGTATCTTACTCTTGACAGTATAGGTAAGTAAGATCGAATACCGAACGTTTCTTCCATTCTTTATTCGGTTCCAATCTTAGTAAGAACTTTGTGTAAATTTATTAGAATGACCTAAAAATTATAATCCTGTGATCGAAGTTGAAACTCCTTAAAATAGAAAAAGAAAAACCCGCAATTTACTCGTGGTAGAAGTATTCAATACCTCTCGCAGGCAAAATCCTATCATTTATCATTGAACTATATTACTGGCGTAGTAGTAGTACCTCAATGTCGTTTAGTAGCTATACAAATGGCAGCGATGCTAAAGAAATGTTGACTTCAAAAACTATATACGTTTTAGTGATCTTTACAAAATCTATAACCGACCTTATGCCTCTGACAGTCTGAGAACAAACAATCAATGAATCAATCGCATTGCAACCAACATCTTCACGGTCACGGCTTAATAAGTAATGTAATGAAATTTTAAAGCAAATACAACACGAGATATTTTGTAAATACTTCAATGCGATTTACAAATTACGATTATTGGCAAACAATATTTATTGTTTACATTAATTTGTCGGTTGATTGGACACGAGACAATTCGTTTCACACTGCGCCAGCGCAGCGAATTCTGCCATATTAAGTAGATACGTTTATTAGAAGACATCGTATTAGATTGGAGACCATAGAATAGTGGCTGTTAAACACAGTTGCGGACTTGGTTCTGTTCACAATATCATTTCATTCAATTTTCATTCAGTGTCCGATAGAAATTAGCGCGTGTCGGTTGTGTGTCTAACATGGTGGCATTGTGTTTATAAATATTCTATCGTGTTTTAGCCAGCGTCTGTGCATTTAGCAAACATAGTTTTTTTTTGTAGTTGTGAATTTTGTGATTTACTAAAGACTTTTTAAGGTGAGTTTTAAAAACAGCAAAGATAATATTTTTGGAACACTTTTTTTCTAGTTTTTTTTTTCTTGAAAGTCCAAACGAGTATTTTAGTTTTAAATCGAAAAAAATCATTGAGTTATGAGTGATTGGACGATTTGATTTAACTATCCAATACGCATACCAGAGATTAGGGTAATTCGATTTTTTTTGTTTAATGATTAAAAATCGATGAATGCACATAAATAAATTAGCACAATATACTACAATACGATAAACTGTAATTAGTAATAAGTAGTAGTAATAGTAATAAGAGCCGAAGATCGTGAAAATCTTTAGTATATAAATAAGGTTAAATGAAGATAATAAAAAACACGAGTAAGCAGGTCAGGCGATGGAAAGTTATCGTTGACCGTCGCCACAACAAGAACAAGCCTTAGCTGAAATGAATCTAAAATAAAAAATTCGAAATTTCTTAAAATGGTAGCAAACGATCTTAAAGGTTTTATTTGGAAATATCCCCACTACGAAAACAAAAAATGACAACCGAAGTTTTATAAGCACAATGATACAGTGTAATGTGGTGTCATTTTTTTTTGTCTTGCATCTGTTTTATTGCCGATATTACCCATCCGATTGCAAAAAAGATCTCAAACTGCTCAAGTCGCCAGCAAAGTCGTGGACTAAAATATTATGGATGGACCTTTAGTGGACTTTATACAGAATCAAACCCGAACACACGAGAAGCGACCAAAGAACAATACTCCTGAAGCCTCTCGTTAAACTCTGGGTGTTTTAAATCTTCTAACGCTGCTAACCACCATTCGGAAACTCTAATTAAAACAATCCAGTGCCTGTTACTGAAAATAATTAGACTAAATTAATAACTTATTCTTGAAATCTTTTTTAATCTTGAAATTAATCTTATAATATTAATCTTGAAATTATTTTTAACTTGAAATTAATAACATTCTCATAGATATTTTTATTGTTATTCTAAGTGCCTACTCTTTTATAAATATTTTAGTACCTATACATATTGTAACAGATGTGTACACAAGGTCAATGATATAATAACTATAAAAACAATAGTAATATTATTCGTATCGAACGATAGAAATGAAATACAGTAAATTGGAGGGAATCGGGACATTTTGCAATTCCAACACAAATTTTCAGCGGTTTTTCTTAGAGTAATACCAATAACATTGAGATTAAAATAGTTTCGGAGACTTATATTTTCATATGCGATGTATTATTACACATATTATGTAGCTCATTGCAAAATATACACAAAAACTTAAAAAACTAACTTGACCCAATTCACTCCAAAGCCAAGGTAAATCGGGTCACGAATGGAAACAACAGTTTTTCGATAGGGGTTTTTAGTAGATACCTACTTATCTGCCCGAAATGCATACGAACCAAAATTAAGAAAGAAGAAGCCAAAAGAAGTAGAACTTCAGAAAAACTATCTAGGTTGAATTCTGTATTAATCAAACATAAGTATGTATGTAACTAATCTTAAATAAATCGTCTAGGCGCAGAATGTTTATTGGACGTATAGCATCCAATTCACTATTCGATAAATAGAATATAGTACCAACAATAATAAAATATTAACCAAATACATATTGGTGTTGTGACAACCCAGATTTGTCCCTATTCTACCCCTAGTCCCTGTTCCCCCAAATTTAAGTTTCTACCGAATCTCTGATCCAGCACTGCCCGACTGTGACGGCCTGCGACTATCAGCGGGTCGTCTTAACACCTTCTGCAACTGGATCCTACACATGTTAAATCATTAAATGTACCACAGTAATAATTTTAACAATATCCTTACAATACCGTGTGATTGCGATGGATTTATAACCTTATTTTTCTTAGTCCGGTTTGTCACTTATTTAAGTTTCCAATAAATCTCACATCACAGGAAACATATTTTCTTGTTATTGCTTAGATGGGTGGACGAGCTAACTGTCCAGCTAATGTTAAGTGGTTGTCGAAGCCCATAGACATCGACAACGTAAATGCCGCCACTCAGCTTGAAACATGAGTTCTGTGGTTCATTTTTATAGTACAACAGGCACCCTGCTCTTCAAACCTACACCCAGCAAGCCGAAATAAAAATGAAAAGTTTTTACCGATATTAGTTATGACATTTGGCAAAAGAACCAAAACTATTGGCATTATCGTTGTCATTGATATTGTGCAAATCTGCAAATTAATAGAAAGGCTTACAGTAACTGAAAATTGAAACGAATGCAATTGCTTTGGACTGTTCCGCTACTTAGATTATTTTCCCTTCCTTCCTTTTCTTTTATTTAGATTCTACATATTTCCTTTAAAAGTTTTTCATCAGTCTGCAGAATCCTATGAATCCTTTAGGCCACGAACGGTACAAAAGAATGTTTCTTAAGATTGCATAGCAGCACTCATCTAATATTACTGTGTCTGGTCACGACCCTGGGACCTCGGGTTAACGAGGAGCACGTGCTAGCGCTCGGCCGCGTGCGAGTTTGTAAAGCAATCTTAAGTTTTGTAACCGACATGCCCTATGCCTTCAAAGGTCAAATTTAAAAACATACGTAGTCTATGCGCTAAAGAAGTTGATTTATTTTGAAAATTATTTTAACTAAAGCTTTTTTTATTGCACAGATTTTTATTGCGTCTGCCCAGACGAGCTCACAGCCCACCTGGTGTTAAGTGGTTACCGGAACTCATAGACATCTATAACGTAAATGCCGCCACCCACCTTGAGATATGAGGTCTCAGTATAGTTACAACGGCTGCCCCACCCTTCAAACCGCAACGCATTACTGCTTCTACTCGTCGAACTCGGTAAAGAGTTCGTCGTACAACCTAACCCATGCATCAGCCCGCTGAGTTTCTCGCCGGATCTTCTCAACGAGTCACGATTCCGATCCGGTAGTAGATTCATTCGCGAAGCAGCTGTTCTTGAGTTGTTTGATCTCCTTCGCAGGCGCTCGGGCAGCTGTTAGCAAATCCCACCCCTCCTAGCTGAGCTTTTGCTCGCCCATCTGTCCTGGTGAAACTGGAAAGGCCTCTGGGACACCAGTAATCCCTCGTCCATAAAAAAAAGATCTGCGATAAACTCAGTAGGCTCTGAAGATTGGTGTCGACAATCACTTTGCAATGACTATTAACTTCATTAGCTGCCCCATCTGGTGTTCTGTGAAACATAAGTGAAGCCTGTTTTTTTTTTACGCCATCACTTGCATATAATTAAGCACAGTACATTAATTAGGCTCTAATGTGCGTGTCATACATATAAGGCAAGCAACTACTTCTAAAAACCCTAATCGCCAAGCCAAGATAAGCTGGAAATTGGTTGTACAACGATGTAATATTTAAGACCCGCATTACGGATTTCATTAGGCAGGTACAAGGATAATTATCTTCTGAAGCTCGGCCATACTGATTTAGGTCGATGATAATGTAATGTCGGTGCTTATTAGTTTGCGCCGGTAGAGACTGGTTTGCAACTTCTCGTTCGCCTTTAAGACCATAATAATATGCAATGTTAAAATTCTATGTGTATGCCCGTACCCATCGGACGGAAGTGATCGTGCTATAAGAAACTACCCAATGATTATTTCGCATATTGTAAATTAAAAAAAAAATATATTGACTATCTGTAAAGTCGGTTTACGGACGATAGTATTACGTGATAACGTCACTAACTATTCGAACTGCTAGCTCTGACGTCACGCGAGAAGAGAGATAAATGTGTCACAAGCCAACGCTTGGGCCGATCGTGCCTCTCTTTCCCTTGTTCTGCGCTCTCACTTGCACGCACAGCCTCAGGCGGAACGTGACACTTTTTCGTGAATGCTCATTGATTTGTAAGACTTGATCAACTTCAAGAACCCTTGAATTGTAATAAGTTAACAATTACCATATTTATATAAATAAAACCTTAATAGAATCCAATAAAGTTCGGAAAAGTATCTTACCTTTTAATAAATATATGTTCATGACGCTTTCAGTGCAAATAAGACTTAGTAAGTCTCCGACCTCATGTGTCGAAGTGAATGGCGACAGTAATGGTATCTATCAGCTACGGTCACAATTTAATATGAAATTGGCCAAGGTTAAGTACTTCATTTAAATAATAATAACTAACTAACTATTACCAATAAAACTGAGAATAAGCGAGCTCAAAATTTTGGTGAGAATTAGAAGAGAACTTTTCCTATTCACGACGTCGTGTTGGTTTAGTTGTTCGTCTTCTGAACGATGACGTCATTGTGCAAATACGTGAATGCAGCTTAAAATACTAACTAGATGATGACCGAGCTTTGCTCGTTTTTTTTTTTATAACGCCATCTTAATGTGTCTTAAAAGCTGTTAGTTGCCCTTAATTAAGAAAAATAGTATTATTATTCGCCAGTAGATGTCGGGAAGAGTCGATTATTGAAAACACGAATAAAACAACATTTTCTGAAAATAAATCTAAATAGTTAGTAATAGTAGCTAAATCGATTTATCGGCCCCGAAATCCCCTGTATACTAAATTTTATGAAAATCGTTAGAGCCGTTTCCGAGATTCAGATTATATACATATTATACATTAATATACAAGAATTGCTCGTTTAAAGGTATAAGATAACCGTTCGATTTTTTTAAGACATTTTCATTTTGTTATCATCTCCACACGAAAATTTCAAATTGAACCGGCTAGTTCATGAAGACATTTCGAATCGAGACAATTTTCATTTGTCAATAGCCATAGTAAAAATTAAAAACAGTGTCACAAATATGTTATCTCTAAGTAAACATTACAAAACAAAATATTGTTTTCGTTTTAAAATTTAACACAATTTCGTGTAACAAATTTCGTGCCGTCGCCACGTTCATTTCGCAAGTCAAATCGTTTTTATCTTTCAAATAATACCTACTATATTACCGCAACAGATAAACTGTGGAATGCAGTTTTTAAGGGCCCTAACATAATTGTAGCGAGAAGCGATGGAAAAAGGTGGAACAAAATGGTTTTGAGAAAT